GGAAAGTTCGGTGCTGGAGAGGGTCGGCGCCGGGCGGTGGGACCCATGGAGGCGCGCGGGGAGCTGGGCCCTGCTCGGGAGCCAGCGGGCGGCGACCTGCTGCTGGCGCTGCTGGCGCGGAGGGCGGACCTGCGCCGAGGTGGGTGTCCCGGCCAAGTGGCTGCATTGGGGGGAACCGGAGGTTCTCGGGCCTTTCCGGCCCAGCCTGCGGAGGCCGGCGGGAGCTAGGGGGCCTGAGCGGGAGTGGGTACGAGTTTGTGTTGGGGCCCCTGGCGCTGTTTTGTTGGGTGTGTGGTCCTGACATGGCACTGCTCAGGCTGGGGGTCCCTGGGGTGGGGAGGGTCCAAGACTGGCTTAGGAGAACCTCTGCAGCCCTGAGCCCCCCACCCCCATCTGGAGGATGTGCAGGGAGCAGTGGAGGGCCCAGTGACCACGGGGCAAGAGGGTCCCCAGGAGGGCCTCCCATCCAGACCCTCCCCACTTTCCAGGGGAGTGGAGTCAGATGCAGGGGCCATGGTCGAGCCGGATGCTGACCGTAGATCACCCCAAGTTGGATCTTGGCGTCTGCAAAAAGCCCCACTTCTGGGCCCCCAGTTTCCTGATGGCATCAGACTCGCTCCCAGCGCTTTGGCTTTCAGAGAACCTCGGCAGTTCTCAGGGGCTCCCAGCCGGCGAGACCCACAGGATGGGGAAGGAGGCTGCAGGCGTGGTGGGGAGTGGGAGGGACTGAGCAGGAGGGAAAGGGGTTACCTCCAGGCTGTGGGGTCTTGCTGTCTCCTCTTATTTATTTATTTTCCGACGGTTCCTGGGAGGGGTTGGCCGCAGGGGTTGGGAGGAAGTGGTGGGAGGTGGAGGGAGATGGAGAGAGGGGAGGCGGGCTGGGCGCGCGAGGGCTCAGGAGAGCTGGCCGGATTGGGAAGGTGGGCGCCGAGGCTCCCGCAGGCCCCACCAGCGCTGGGAGTAGGAGACCCCGCCGAGGCAGGAGTCGCCATGCAGCGTAAGACCGGGGTCTCAGGGGCTTCGCGGGGAGCGCAGGGCGGGAGGGGGAAGCTTTTGCCCGACGCGGGCTCCGGAGTAGGCACGGCCGAGCCGCTGTCCGGGCCACGGTGCTGAATCCGCGCTGCGCGGGCCAGTCCAGCCACCCAGCTCTATGCCGAGTGTCCTCGCCGCCTTGCAATCGCTGCCCGCGATGGGAACCTGGGTGCGCTGCGGGTCCTCAGGCTTGCAGCCAGGGCCGCGGCTTTGCCAGACGCGGGACTGCGTCCATCGCGGGTTTCCTGCCACTGCGGGAGGGAGTTAGAGCCCGCTTTTCTCAGCAAGGGGCAGAGGGAGCCCCTTCCCGTTTCCTCCCGTCCAGTGGGGGGCCAGTCTGGAGCTGGCGGGGTCCACAGCCAGAAGGGTGAGTGTGGGAGGTGGGTGCGGTATTTGAATAGGTCCCAGCTCCTGCGTATGACTCTTCCCGAGACCTTTTCTAAATCGACAGGGAATTTGCACCCCAAGAGCACCCTGAAAAGCCCCTCATGGAACTGGGGCTCCCTAGGGCATCCTCAGTCTTCCCCAGCCTGGTTCTCCCTGAGGCCTGCAGTCCTGGGCTCGGGGAGCAGAACTGGTGAGAATCTGGGTGTTTGAGTAACTATGACTGGATGGGGAGAGAAAATCACCTACTGTGTGCTCCACTCCCATGTGTGAGCATGAGAGCAGTGGGTCCACTTGCCCATAAATACTCGTGCAGCCGCCCAAAATGGAGAGGGCGTTGATTTTCGTCTCAGAGGCCTGCAGACAGGGCCGCTGGGCTGGGCGGCCACACTTGCAGGGAGTCTCTCGAAAGCATCAGTCTCGCTCCCAGCGCTTTGGCTTTCAGACTCTTCGTTGTGCAAAGTAATGAAGGTGATTAGGTGCTGGGTGCCCCACACACTGCGTGTGCCCGGCCTCTGGGTGATGGTAAGAACTTGTTGTCCCATTTTCCAGCCTGGCTTCTGAGAAGGGTCCCTCTGGGTGGAGTTTTCATCCCAGTTCCACGTGTGCCCTTCTTTGCACTGAGAACATTGTGTGATTGACAGTATTTGGCCTCATGGAATGATCTGGGCCTCTTTCCTGCTCACAGACACATTTCTACACCTATTTCAGTTTTCCCCTTAGCTGCTGCCAGGCCATGCGGTGCCCACAAACTCCCCACACTTGAGGAGCCAGGCAGCAGCCCAAGCCGACTGGGGAAGGGGCTGTGCAGGGAAGAGGGGATCCGCCGGGAGCTCTGGGAGCCAGGGGCAGGACAGGAGCCTAGCTCGAGCTGCGGTGGGACGGCAGCTTCACGGCCTACAGTCTGTGAGTTGCCTGTGACCCTGGCGGCTCCTTGTGTCCACAGAGATCCCGCTGTGTGCCGGCTGCGACCAGCACATCCTGGACCGCTTCATCCTCAAGGCTCTGGACCGCCACTGGCACAGCAAGTGCCTCAGGTGCAGCGACTGCCACACGCCGCTGGCCGAGCGCTGCTTCAGCCGGGGGGAGAGTGTGTACTGCAAAGACGACTTTTTCAAGTGAGCCTGGCTGCCTGGGTGTGGGAGTGGGAGGGACCGGACAGCGGCTCGTTCTCCCCCAGGGAAAGGAGGTTGGGGGTGCAATCACCCCAGGACCCCCCCACACACACACACACATCCTGGCACAATAGCAAGTCCTAAGCCCCGGAAAGCCTGCGTGTCCAGGCGGATTCCAGCCCCCTACTGACACCCCAGGCAGGCACCCTAGGGTCCAGCTGAGCTCAGGATTGGGCCTCTCCATGGGCACTCCCTGGGTGGCTGGTCCTGGCTGGAGCATTAGCAAATATTTGAAGAAAAAGGTAATTTGTTTTGTAAATCATGGAAGCAGCCGTTAAAAAATATAAGCCCAAATTTGTGAAACTCTATTGGACTCACTCCCTCTTAGACTGGTCTTGTTTCTGTCCCTATGCTGGGGAGTGGGGGGCTCTGTCCCTCTGGATTCACCTTTCCCGGACCCAGCACTCGTCCCTATGCTGGGGAGTGGGGGGCTCTGTCCCTCTGGATTCACCTTTCCCGGACCCAGCACCGAGCGCTGGCTGTGCTCCCCGAGGTCTTCTCTGTAGCACACGTGCGGCTCTGCCAGGGCTGCTGGGCCCTGACCAAGGGGCAGGACCCAACCGAGCCTTCCTCCTGGGACCGCCCTGCCAGGCGCCGCGCTCGCCGCTCTCCGACCCGCTCCGGGCGAAGGAGCCGCCCGCGCTGCCGCGCTGAGCCGCGCCCTGTGCGTCCCGCAGGCGTTTCGGGACCAAGTGCGCCGCGTGCCAGCTGGGCATCCCGCCCACGCAGGTGGTGCGCCGCGCCCAGGACTTCGTGTACCACCTGCACTGTTTCGCCTGCGTCGTGTGCAAGCGACAGCTGGCCACAGGCGACGAGTTCTACCTCATGGAGGACAGCCGGCTCGTGTGCAAGGCGGACTACGAAACGGCCAAGCAGCGAGGTCAGTGGAAGGGCGCGACAGTCACCCCGCCTGGCCTCGGCGGGACCCAGACCCCACCTTCCTTGGCTGTCAGATGGGGCTGAGGCCAGTCCCGGCCGGGGCGTAGGAAACCCTCCCCTCCTCATCCGCAGCGCCTGGCCTCGGGGCTGGGGCGACAGGGACACCACGACCCCCTGCCCGGGAGCGGGGCGGGGATGATTAACAGACCCGGCGCTCCGGAAGCCAGCACCGGTGGCCTTAGCAGGTTCTGGGCGCACGGAGGTTGCTCGCAGTTAACTGGATGGTCACCCCTTGTCCGAATTGTCGCCCTAAACTCTTGACCCTGGAGACCCGGCTTTACCCACACCCCTAAAATAAAGGGGACCCCGTGGGAGGGGCGGGGCGTCTGCCAGGGGAGAACCGAGGCTGAGGGCGCGATCAAGGGCGGCGGGATCCAAAACAAAACCGCTTCTGCCGCCGACCCTTCCCGGGCGCCGGCTCCGCGCTGCAGCGGGTCGGCTCGGGAGCCCCGGCCGCCGGGTCTGGGCCA